CACCGGCGCGTAGGTGTGATGCATGTGGTGACTGTGTCCACCATGACTCATTGGCCTGAGCAGTTGCCCCAAGAACCAAGGAACGAAGTGAAAAAGGCAGTCTCATTGGCATCCCTGAGCACAACACTGCCTCGCTGGCTCAGTGTACCCCTCTAATGCTAGGAACTCTCCTTATCAGTGATTTCCAAATGTCTTGGGCCCTGACCACTTCCAGACTTCTATGACCCATGTGCCACAACTGAGCCTTCCTGGAGGTGCCCTGGCCTCTCAAACTTGCCTTTTCTAGCCCAGTCTGGACTGACTCCCCAAACCTCTGCACTTTGGGTCTCCCCCATCACAGCAAATGGCCCCACAGTCTACCTTGATGCTGTGCCAGACCTCACTCACCTCTGTCCCCAAATCCAAAACATCCCAGTCCCTTTAAGGCTTTCTCTTAACTATATCACTCTCATTTCATTACTGCCCCTTACTGTTTGCTCAGTACCCTTTATTATTGTACCTATGAGTCTGGGCCTCATCTTCCCTGTCTCCCTCCCATAAGTCCACTGCATGCGAGTGCTGAGTGCAGGCGGCCACAAGGTCACCACACATGGTGGACACCCTTCTGAAAGTCTGCCTGGATAGGTACAGAATCCACACATGGTTGGGGGTCAGTCACCCTCAGATCTTTGCAGGCCAGTGAAGACTCACCAGTGTCAGGGACTTGGGGACACTGGTATGCTGGACCAGAACAGGACCTTTTTAAGGTGCACAGCTAGGAATGTAGATGGGAACTACAAACACAAAGGCCAGCAATGTTGCTTCAAGTGTCTGGTGTGGCCTGAAGTGACCAGGACCCCCTCTCTTGGAAGACTGAGCTTCTCTCAGTGTTGCCCCTGCACTAGAGTCTCCAAAGAGTGATGCAGGGCCCATGAGTTCTGGATCTGAGTACAGGTTGGGCTCCCCACCTCACCACATCTATGCAAAAAGATGCTCCCTGAGGTTAGGGTTGGACAAGGAGCCTTGCTGAAATTTTCAGCAAGGCTGAGTCTTCTCCTCAGTTTGGGCTCAGAAACCATCCAAATTGGTGAGGATGAGGGGAAAGTTTGAAGCACTGCTTCCTCCCTGAAAGAATTCCCCTACAAAGCCTTCTGGGACAGTTTCCTCTGTGAGGCAGAGATAATTAAATCCTTGGTGCAGATGGCAAAGCTGAGGCTCAAGGAAGAGGGACTTTCTTAGGCTACCTACCTAAAGACAGGAGAGGAGAGTCCAAGTTGAGTGCACAGATACCTAGATAGCAGGCTCTGTTGGGGAAATTCTGCCTTCAGCCCCAAGGGCTTTCCTGGGCCAATGACAGGCCACTCTAGCTTCCCTGCTGATACCCTTTACAGCTACCTGAGGGAGTCATCCCTCCATTGGCCTAGCCAGGTGACCAGCATTCCTGGTTCTCTGGTCCTGGAAATAGTAGACTATCAAGGGGACCAGGAACAGATATGAGCACAAACTCCATCTCTATCAACACTGATTGTGTAGACGAACAAGTCTCTGGGCTCCTGGGCCTCAAGTCTTCAACGAGGACTAGGAACCCCACCCCAGTGGTGGCAGGCCCAGGGAAGGTGAGGTCATCTGAGAAGCAGAGTTCCCACGGGATGTGAGACATCTAGAGGGCCATTTCCTTCCCCTGGTGATAATTTCCACTGTGATAAGGATAGGGTAGCCACAAGCAACAGTTTCCCCCAGAACCTGTGGGACGGACACGTATAAGAAACCCCTTTCAAAGGGTTTTCTCCTGGTTTTGTGAGAAGGAAGCCAAAAAGGAGTCATGTTGCTCATCATGGTCTTCACTCCTGCCCTCCCACAGTTCCACAGGGACCCCTGAGTCAGGGCCCTGGTGCAGCTCAATGCCATTTCTGCCTCTTTCCACTGGATGCAATCTAGGAATGCCTGCCTGTGTCATGGCCTCACCCTTGATGTCATCTTCTCAGCAAAGAGATGTGTGGTTACCATGAACCTCACCACCAAATCCACAGGGCTCTGTCATTTACAAGCTGACTTTGGTGCCCATAGGCCACACACTACAGGCAGGGACCTCTCTCCCTGGGGCCCCTTTCCCGCTCTCCCAGGGCCCTTGGTCACTGCCCGGGCTCTTGCCCAGCTAGCATGACCCTAGCCCTTTATACACAGCTCTTATGGCTCCCAGTCCTTTTTTTTTTTTTTTTTTTAAGATTTATTTATTTATACGTGCACTGGGGTACAGACCAGAGGCGCAGAAGGGTGAGAGAATCCACCAGAGACAGAACAGGGAGCAGAACAGGCAGAAGGACCGAAACACACTGCTGAGGGGAGCAGTGGGCGAGACAGGAGAGGTCTGCCATGCCATGTGGGAATCTCCCTGGCCGGCTAAGAATCGAACCGGCGCCACGGAGGCTGTGGACAGCTTCACAGCGCTGCGCTCAACACACTGTGCCACTGGGGAGGCCTTCTGTCCTTCTTTCTGAATGATATGCACGGCCTTAGAAATCATGTGGACATGGACAATCAGGAACCAATGAACTGAAGACCCTGCAGACCTACTTATTCATCCCCTGGATCCCTACCTTAGATACCTGGACAGTGGTTCTAACTCCTCTGACATTCAAAAGCACATTTTAGGGAGCAGGGTGAGTAGGTTAACCTCCAACTATGGGGCCAAGAAGTCCATAAACAAACTAACTTAGCTGTTTTTCATCATCTTTGTACCCAACACTCTCTGCTAAACTGGAAACCTTGTCGGTGCTCAGTAAATACTGAATGAATGAGTCCATTACAACGCGAAGTCCTGTCTAGTCCACCTCCTAAATTTCTCTGGAGTTGGTCTCCTTCTTACCATACCTGCTACCGCACCTCTGCCTCTCTGTCCAAACCACTCTCCTCCTCTCCTATTGTCCCCTCTGCACCTCCTCATTCCCAACATCTGACTTGCCCAGTTGATTCTACCAGCGCAGAGTGGGAAGTCTGTTGACTGAGCTGCGACAACTTAAATCCAGGAAAGTGACTTTCTAACTCAAAGGAGCCACATCAGCCCTTATGCTTCCTTGGCCAATAGCTGAGCTGCTACCTGCGGCCTCCAACCCCTACCACTCAGCCTTCAGGGCACTGTCTGAAAGACCTCTATTCTGTGTGGTCTCTGTATCAGGTGTCTTTGACCAGCCCTCCTGCTCCTGCTCCAGAGGACTCATGGAATATGTAGAGAATGGCCTGTTCCACTCTCACCCCCAGCCCAGCCACCTAGGAATCTTCCATCAGCCTGGCTTCACCATGGCACCCAGATTCTGGCAGGGATCCCAATGGGGTCTAGAAGATTAAGGCCTGGCTTGGTTTCCCTGTGCAGGGACAGCAACCTTCCTGTCGCACAGTGAAACTCGCCTGTTTAAGTCACAGTCCTCATACCATGAATTGCACCTGCTCTTAAGAGCCTTTAAGAGCCCTTGTCCACTTGATCCCAGCAGAATGTCCTTGCTGTGTCCAACTCCATCAGTGTAGACTGAATCAGTCTCTTGCTCCCAGAAACATCCCAAACATCGTATGGGAGAAGTGACCTTTTCCCATACCAGAGGAGCATAGGGGCTCACATGGAGACACCTCATGTAAAACATTTGCTCTCCCTCCCCTCCCTGTGAGAAGACACATCCAGCTACACTGGCACACAGATGCTCAGAACAGACATATGTGGACCCACACGCCGGCAATCATGAAACTCACGGCACAGGGCAGCTTGAGCTGGTTCCCTTGTGCAAATACAAACTCGTGCTGTCCTCTCCAAACTCTATTGTGAAAATCAAACACTTCTCAGCCCCTCAAAGAACATGTGGCTTTTCCACAAGCAGTTCCTGTTCTACAGAAAAGCCCCTGGAGCTGGAGGTGGGCTGAGGCAGGGGCCATGTGGGAAATTAAGCCTGGAAGACATTGTTTGAGAAGCTATTGTCCCTGGTGCCTGGTGTGGATGCAGCCATGAGCCGGCAGCTGCCCCTTGAAGCTCCTGGGACCTGCTGAAGGTTTTAGGTAGGAGTACAAAGCCCACCTGAGATGGGAAGTTTGCTGTGCCCCAGGGGAACAAAGCTCACACAGCTCAGAGGGAAGAGTGACTCAGCAAATGGTGCTAGAAGCAGAATTTGAATTCAGGGCCCTGACCCACCACTGCCTAAAGCGCTAACCCACCTCTGAAGCTTGGTGGTTGGATATGGCTGTGTAAACTTGGACTATTGCTGTCAGAAGGGCTCTTGATGTGGAGGATGCTTTACAGTCTTGCTGGCATACACAGAGTTGTCATACCCTCTGCTCACAGGGGCTGTGGGACAGACATCTCTGGCTGGGCAGAGCTCGCCAACCACTCTGGGTCTTTGGTTAGAGGTGAGGTAAGCAGTCACAGGATTATGCCATGTGGCTGGACTCCGCCTAGGTGGAGAGTGGGACAGGCATTTGAGAGTCCTCCTCACATTCCAATCTTTCACTGTGGACGGAGAAGAGGGCCCTAGAAATAGCAGGGCAAGGCTGGGGTTAGAATGGGCACGAGGGTGGGCACAGTCAACCCAAAGGCCTCTCAGGATAACAGACAGTTTGGGAAACCCTGGGAAAAAGAAGCCCCTTCCAGCATCTCACAGGCCCCACCCCCACCCCCCCACCCCCACTTCAGGCCAGGAAGTCCAAGCTGTGCCCTGGGGGCCTCTCAAAGGAAGGGAGTGGTCTCTGCTGGTCAGACTGCCCAGGGAGGGCTGGAGAGGACTTAAGGAGGTGGGCGGGTGGGCTGCTAGTTCTTGGAAAGTATCATTAATGAAGCCCTCCCCTTTGCCTGACCACCTAAGGAAAAGGCACACCATCCCCATGTGTAGCTGATAAGGGGCAGGAGATTCCACAGTTCAGGTAGTTCCCCCGCCTCCTGGCGTTTTGTGGTCACCATTAATCATTTCCTCTAACTGTGTATATAAGAGCTCTTTTACCAGTGAGCCCAGTACTCAGAGAGAAAGGCTAAAGTCCCCAGGAGGATGTGGCTGCAGAACTTGCTTTTCCTGGGCACTGTGGTCTGCAGCATCTCCGCACCCACCGGCCTATCCAACACTGTCACTCAGCCCTCGCAGAATGTTTATGCCATCAAGGAGGCCTTGCAACTCTTAAATCAGAATAATGACTCTGATACTAACTCGGTGAGTGGGGAGGGAGTGCAAGTCGCACCTGGACCAACTTTGCTGGCCAGGAACAGCCCTGTCAGTTTGATAACATGTTTTCCTTTTCTACAGACTGAACTGATAGAAGTCGTCTCTAAAAGGTTTGACCCCCAGGTAAGTTGTTTTTCTCTAACACACCTTCCAAGTGACCTCTTCCCAGGGGAGGGCCCATTTTAGATGGACTCCCACTGAATTGCCCACTTTCCCTCCAGTTAACTGCCCCCTGCAATCAGGGGGCCACTGGTTTTGCTCTTTGGGCAGTCACATGGGTGCCTTTATTAGCTTTAAGAGCCACGGGCAGACCTAGCATTCAAGGGGTCAGGGATCAGCAGGGAACAGGTGGGGAAACAAGGGTTACTTCATGAGACAGGGGCTGTGGGCTTGGGCACTCACTGCCCTGAGACCAAGACCCATATAGACAGCATGCTGGCTAGAGGGGCACAGAGGGGTTTCAGGAACAAGCCTTGCTCACAGAGATCTGAGCAAAGCCCTCCCTGCTCTGCTCATAGTGGTGGAGGATGACTGACCTCCTTTGCTGGGGGCTGGGACCCTCTTGAGATGCCAGGCCAAGGGAATGTGCTTGTGCTGGCTGAGGGTGACTTGAGCTGAGTGGTGAGGAGGAGTCAGACTTGTGCTTGTGGTGAACAGCAGCAACAAGGCAATGTATATGCATGGACCCCGACTGGTCAGAAATCATGCTGTGTCCCTCGCGGGCTCTCCTCTTGGGGAATGGGAAAGGGGACAAGAAAGCATGATGGAGAGGCTAGCCTATGCCCGATGGTGGGAGCTTGGCCGCTGCTCACCAAACAATGAACATTTTCCACAGGCGCCGACATGCCTGAAGAGACGCTTGGACCTGTACAAGAACGGCCTACGGGGCAGCCTCCTTAATCTCAAGGGCCTCTTGGAAATGATGGCCAGCCACTACAACCCATCGTGCGCCCCTACCCCACACCAGGTAGCTACATCAGGGCCCCAAGTGGAAAGGTCTTACTTGGGGAGGGTGAAGTACTGGGTAAGGAGAAACTGTGCAAGTCCCAAAGGGGTTTTGACTCAACAGATTTGTAATGATTAGTCCCTCCTTAAAGGGAGCAGCCCCGCCCATCTTTATCTCCAGGAGATGATGCAAGGAATTTGGGAGCCCACAGCGCCCCCTAGGGGCTGCTACTACTCTTCTTATTGTTGTTGTTATGGTTAATGAGGTCAGAGGTGAGGCAAACCCAAAGAAACCCAGGGCCTGCCTGAGGCAGAGGAAGTTCCAGTGCCCAAGTGCCACCTCCCAACAGGACTTTCCCCCAGGACTGCATGGGAGCAAGGAGGGGTACATCCTGGAAAGGGCAAAAACCCAAAACACTCTTCCTGCAGGAAGGGAGTAAAGTCTGTGCCCTTGACTTCTGCTCCTCTGAGCTCCTGAAACTGGCCTCAGCCCAGCTGCTCTGGCCTGGCCTGGGAACAATGAGGCGGTGGCTCACCTTTCCAGCAGACCAGCCTTAGGCTGGCACTCTGTCAATCCCTGGCCCTGCCTGCTGCTGGCAAGCTGGGCACCCCATGGGTGAGACATGGGTGGCAACATGGCACTCGACCCAGGTCAGCAGGTGGGCCACAGACAAGCTTTCTGGCTTCTGAGTTTTAAGAGGCAGCACACAAACACCCTGTGCTTCCCCTGTGTGACCTATTCCTGGACTAAAGTTTTCTTATTCTTTCTTTTCTTTTTTTGTTGAAGGCAAGGTCCTGTGGCACCAAGTTTGTCACCTTCAAAAGTTTCAAAGAGAACCTGAAGAATTTTCTGGAAGACATCTCCTTAGACTGCTGGGACTCAGTCCAGAAGTGAAGCACCTGGTCCAGTCAGGGGCCAGCCCTGGAAGCTTACCTCACAGATCACTGTCCTCCTACCACACAGAGCCAAACAAAACTCAGGATCTTGACCTCGGAGGGACCAAAGGCTGGGCCCATAGATCTGCTCTGGATCATGATGACCCCAATTTGGGTGTGGTTGGGGCATGGGGCGTGTTTTATACTCCTCTAGGGATCAGTGATATTTATTTATATATTTATGTATTTTAATATTTATTTATTTATATATTTATTTATTTAAGCTCATACTCCATATTTATTCAAGATGCTTCACCATAATAATAAATTATTAAAAATCTGTTATTTGTGCCATTTTCCAGTTTATTTTCAATCACAAGTAAATGCTGATGCTGCTCTCCTCCCTACTGGGCAGGGAGGGGAGGAAACTGGAATGTGGGGGTGAGCAGGGGCCTCTAGAAGGTCAGCACTGCTTGAGAGGCCGTGTTGCCAGAACAGGGGTAGGAGGTAAGAGCCAGTCGGAGTGCAGCATTCTGCAAACCCTCATGTGCTTCCCTGATGCTCAAGGGCTCTCACCTCAGAGGGAGGTTTCCAGGTTCACTTAGAAACCAAGGACCTGCCCAGCAGGAATGTTGTCTAGAGAAGGGGCATCACCTTTCCTGGGGCTTGGCTAATCACTAGCCAAACTAGTGTCAGGGAAAATTACTGTGTCCTTCAGAGGCCTGGACCCTGTTGGTCACATCCTGCCCCTCAGGTTTAATTAGGCTTCAACTATTCTAAGGTGAGCCAGTAGATTAGCTGTTCAGGGCAAAATAACCAAACCACAGGGGTCAGAGTTCAGCATTTTTATGAAATTTCCCCCAAAATGGGTTATCTTAATCTTTGAGAGTCAGAATAGAAGTTCATAATTTGTTGAAACATGACTGTTACTGTGGTGCTTTTCTGTGCTAGTTTTCATTTTTACATGAGGTTTTCCAACCATTCAGGCACATTTTCTTAAAATCCATGGCATTTAGACCAAGGAAACAGCAGCTCTCCTCTGTCCCCTTGCTTTGCCGGCAAAGCTGAAGACCTATTCTCGTGTCCCTCCTGGGGACTGTGAGGAAGAATGTGTGTTCCCAAGTGTCAGGTGGGCAGTGCGGCCAACCTTCTCCTTCACAGGTGGGCCTAGGGGAACTATTTTCATGCCCCTGCCTGGTTCTTCCTCCACCCCACCTGCTCTCTCTGCTCTAGCCAGTAACTGCAGACTATGCCAGTCCTGGCCAAAGACCTGTCTCTCATAACCAAGCAGAAAGATCATGACTCCAGATGTGATTAAGAAGAAAAATCTTAGACAAAGCCTGAATTTCAGCAAAGACAAGAATCCATGAAGTGGGCTGCGGTCATAGAAAATGCATCAAAAGCACATCTTGCCTAGTGATAAGGTCCTCTCTGTTTTCCTCATAAGCCAGTGATAACTGATAAGAGATTTAGCATTTCCTTAGACTCACATATATAGGTACCCCTCTCCATAGAGCTCGGGTCATTTTGGAGCCACCTTCAAAGTACCATGCACCTGTTCCTGCTCCTGGCTTGTGTACTCTGGGTCTTGGAAAGCCACTGTGTCCCTATGAAGATCACCAGCGAATCTCCCAGTGACAATTACAAGGAAATCTGTGCTGAGATTCAGAAAGAACTTTCAGCTGACAACATTAAGTACAATGTAAGTCTGACTCTTCGTCAAACATTCCTTTGCTCTCACTGGTGCCTTGTGTTTCTGACCAACTTCTTCTGCTTCCAGGGTTCCTTCAAAAGGCCTCAGAATGCCAGTGAGGTAAGGAGGAGTCACCCCATGGACTTTTGTGACCACATTTTAAAGGGATCACCCTAGTTAGGACCCAGGGCAGAGATAAGAACAGGGGTGTTAAGAGTGAGAAATCTGGGGAGATAGCAGGGAATTTGGGGATGGAGTCCCTATCCCAAATGCTAAACCAGTAGCTGGGCCCACCCTGAGCCTTGTTGGATACCCTGACCACTGTCCCAGAGCATTCTTGCCCAGGGAGAGACCAGACACCCACTGCATAGGTGGCAAGGCCCATGGGTCTCCTGTGAGCAAATAAGGCAAGGCCTTAAATTGGGGTCAAGGGTACCATCTGTCCAGGGTGACCAGGGATGGATGAGGCTGGGGGTCAGCTGGTGTTCCTAAGTACACCACCACCATCCAAGTGTCCCCAAATTTGTTGCAGGAACCCTGCTATGGAGAGTTTACAAAGGATTTCATCCGCGACCTGGAGGAACTTCTGAAGAAACTTAAGGACTCTAACCAGCAAGATGTTCACATACAAAAGGTTTATAAGGGCATGAAAAAACTCACCCAAATCTGCTCAAAGCTTACAGTAAGTTGCTTTTTGCATTTAGGGGAACTCCAGATATAATTTCTTTGCTACCACAGCCAGAGTGCAGAGTGGCAAAGGGTTTCTTAAGGCCTCATGTGAGGCCTCAGGAACTGTATTCTGATCTGAGACATCCACTCACTGACAGAGGCTGGGGCATTGTGCATTTGGGATTTAGGGATCATTCTGGAGGTTTCTGTGACCTCTGCCAAGTCCCTATGCACAGGGGTCAGTGTGGAGCAGGTCTAATGCCAGTCAAAGCAGGCTGGTCATGGACTCAGTTTGGCCTGAGAGAAGAACCACTTGGTGCCAAACCTGGTCAGGTGGCCAGTTGAATCTGGCTCTGTTTTGCCCTGCCCGAGTGGCTCCTTCTGGGCTAATAAGCCCCGCTGGGAACCCATGATGCAGGGATGGCCAGAGGATTGGGGGAAATGACCAAACTGGCCCTCCCTGTTTGATCCCCAATTGCACTATCCCCTGGGCGCTCCCATCTTGCTTGTCTTCATGTCTCTACCCTGGGCAGCAAGGCATCTGCTCACAGCCTGCTGGCTCCCCACAAAGCTATGGGTGGTCCTCCAAGCCTGGGCTCCACTACCACCACATAGCTCCCAGTACCTTCTCTAAGACAGACGGGGAAGACCTGCCCAAGTTACTTCCTAGGTGATGGGGACTTACAGGACCCCCGTGGCTGGAAGAATAGTTGACTTTCATTTTTTCTAAGAGCATTTCTTATTTAGCCAACAGGACCACCCAAGAAATGTATTACTGAAACAAGTGATTTCTCACAGTTCAAGAAAGCCTTACGGGATGTTGTCATGTCCATAGAAGGATGGATATCATGTAAAACGATCAAGGGCAGCCTCTGGGACCCTGTCCCCTCACTGAAGCCTGGTGCATGTGGTTAGAACTACAGGACATGGCATTGGAGGAACCTCAGAAATAATTTTCGGCTGGGGTGGGTGGGAGTTTGCTAGCCCGAGGTTGGCAGATGAAGCTGAGGGTGGGTAATGGTGGGGATGAGGTTGGGATGGGGGCTGGGACATGGTGTCTGAGGAAACATTTCTGTAACTGACACATCAGCACCTGTTGCTTCAATAAAGGCAGGATGTGGAAAAGCTGGTGACTGAGAGTGGTGAGAGAGAGTCCTGTCTTTCAGGGGCCTTGATAGACTAGAAGAGGCAGGGGCATGGGGTTTGTGACCTGTGTCCTGGGGGGCCGGGATTTTCTCAAGAGGTGCCTCTGGCACAAGAGGGTGAGTAGGAACCCTACCTCATCTTTCCCTCTGTGACACTTCCAGAGCCAGTGGACACACAGTAGGGGCTCCATCAAAGTCTGTGTAGTTTGTTACTATCTCCCATCTCCCTGTGTCCCTCAAAACTGAATCAGATCCCTTCGCAGACCCCTCTCTCCACCTGAGTCAGTATGCATTCACCCTGAGATCCAAGGGCCAAGACTCAAGGCCCCTCCCTCCACTGCTCTTCAAGGCACCTCCCTCCGCTGCTCTTCACCACAGCTCCTGGGGAGCTCTGATTCATCTCCCCATCTCCACCCTGGGCCCACTGTGATGCCACAGAAGTGTCAGTCCTAGTAAATGGCTCAGGGGAAAGGGGCTTTTGGACTACTCACAGTGGGGTATCTGGGGACTCACAGGCACCAAGGACACTTCTAAATATCTGGCTTCTTTCAGATCAGCAAAGAGCCATCTTACTGTAAGTACAGCCCCTTGGGGCCTCCCTGGTGGCCTAGAGGTTAAGTCTCAGTGCTACCACCATGAAGGCCCACCACGATGGCCTGAGTTCGATTCCCAGCCAGGTTGCTGACCCACATATAATGCAGCAGACCTCTCTTGTCTCCCCCGCTGCTCCCCTTAGCAGTGTATTTCAGTAAATCTGCCTGTTCTGCTCTCCACTCAGTCTCTGGAAATTCCTCTCACACACAATCCCTTCCCCTTCCCGTACCTCTGGCCTGCAACCCAGTTCTTCTACACAAAAATAAAACCTTAAAAAAAAATGAAGTGCAACCCCTCATATAGCCTGCAAAGTCCCTCACAAACCCCTTCAGAGTCTCCTTGGATTAACAGCCTTCTCTATCTACCAACACCCTCACATCCCCAGAATATGGAGCCTTGCCTGTGGTGAGTCCATAAGTCATTTAAGTCCTGAAGGGCTCCCCAAGCTTTGATCACCTACCCTTAATTCTCACCCTAACCCTAACCAAGGTGACTGGGGTTACTACACAATACAAACAGATTCCTACAATCCGAACCAGTCAGAACATGAACGTTTATATCAAACTAGGAAAGATAAAGATCTGCTGTTCTGAAATCTAATTAGGTATCAAGCCGCAACCACAGCTTAGCCCAGGTCAGACATGCAGAGTCCATAATGTCTACACATTCTCAGTGCACAGGCCCAACGCAGCCTGCCCATGCTCACCCTCCTGCCTTAGGAGTCCCAGGTCACTCCCTGCTCATCTCCTTCTTGAGGGGCTGCATCAGGCTGGAGGTCAGCAGGTGTGACTGGATGAAGTTGTCGAATTATCTCAGGATGGTCTTGGGACTCAGGCTTGGGTGTGGGGTTTAGTACAGGGTCAGAGGCCAAAGGCAGTCTCAGCCCTGAGAAGACCCACAGTGTAGTCCTCAGGGGTTGTGAGTTCCCATCCCTCAGGTGTACCATGTGGGTGCCAGCAGTTCATAAGGCCACTCCTCTGTGAGAGGAATGGACTGCAGGATACAGGGCAAGATGGGGCAGGAGACATGCTGTCAGGAAGGCTCAGACTTACCACTTCATTGATTCAGCCTCATCCTAGCTTGAGGTACCTAGCAGTGAATGGTTGGAAGCTTGTATATACATTCTATCATCTCATTGCCATGTTCAGGATAGCAGGTTATACATGAAGTTGCTCTATCTTGCCATGTGACCCTGGACAGGTAGCTAGGTCTCTCAGCCACAGAGTCCACAAAGGCAAATACACTCCAGCCCCTAGGCCAGATCAAGGTTTTAGCTAAGGGTCCTTGCCAAGGTTTGGGGCCCCCCAGATTAACTCTAGGGAGTCAGGTTGACAGATTCTGTAAACAGAAGTTAGGAAGGATACAACTGGGAAGGTGGATATTCCACATGGAGTAACAGCCCTCCTCCCCCGCTGACAGCCCTGGCAAAGGCCACCAAACAGTCATTCATGAAGACTCCCTGCAATGAGGGGCACTTGGGTTTTCCATATGGCCTAAATTTCCCTCCAATTAGGGTGGAACCAAGTGGCAGGGCATGTGAGTACTGCTCATGAGACCCAGGCAGGCCTGAAACTATAGTTCTCTGGCAACCTACAGGCACTGCTACTTGAGGATCTAAGGAAAAGCCAGTACAATGGAAGGCTGCCACTCTGGGCTGGATACCTGGGCACAAGAAGTATGGTCCTGGGTACCCAACTGGCTGGGACTGGTCCTGGACAACCACTTTACCAGGAAATAGGTTCATATTACATCCCTCCCTGGGACTGAACCATGGGCAGGCACACCATCAACTTGAGGAAACACTCTTAATTTTGTTAGGCCCATCCTAGATCTGGAAGGAGAGCAGCTGGGTGGCCTGACGAAATAGGCTCATTTACACACTAAAACTTTCTAGGATAATGGAATAGTTACCCGCCTCACAGGGGCCTCCCCAGGGACCCAAGTGTCTATCACCTTCTCTTGGTATTCTGCCTCCTAGGGGTGCCATTCCTCCTCAGAAATCAGTAGTTTGGAGGTTGAAACGAGGAATATAAGAAATGCACTAAGTAGCAATGTAGCACTCTCCTACGCTAGGCCTTGAAAGCTCAAATAGTCTTCTTGGCAGTCACATGGCAAGGTCATGTCCTTTGAGCATTCACATTCAGGGGGATCACACAGAAGGGACACTTCATTCACAGAAATGACCAATCATTCAGTCCATGACATGACTGCTGTGAAGTTAACAAGGCAAGGTACCTGTTTAAGATTCATAACAATAAGAAGCTTGAATACCTTGTATGAGCCATGGGCATGTATTGCAGGGGTATTAAGATGATGACTTGATGGTGAATGAAAGTTAAGCTTTCATCTTTGGTTTTCTAGCCTGTGACAGCTGTTAATGTGGTCATGACCAGATCTGTGGAGAAAGGCTGAATTCATGCCAGGATCAGTGGGCATCATGTTGTCTCTTTGCTTACAGAAAACTTGCCTCTTCAGTGTGCTCAGATAAATGAGGTCCTCAGTGGTGGCTTGAATTACATCCACTGACTCCCCAGATCAGTTCTTTAACCAAGGGCTGGTCATGAGTTTATAATGGGGGCCAAGATCCCTGGTACCTTCCTCCTTAGATAGCATGGACAGAAGAAGCCTATTTTCTCTTCCCTGGCAGGCAGGACAGCTCTCAGGTGGGCCTGTAGCCTGTAGGGTTCTGTTCAGGCATCCTAACTAATCTCACACCTGCCCTGTTAGTGGAGTCAAAGATGGGGGCTACACATCTGGCTCATGCTACAAGGCCCCAGGTAGACAGGGTGTGCCATGCTCTTGAGCCTCATGCTTTCTGGCTACCTGCACATGTACATGTTTGGGGATTCAGGTTCTGTATGAATAGAAGTAGAGGGCAGGGGATGCATGGACCAGGCACACACTGTGCCCCAACCTGTATTTCTGAGCAAGCCGTTGGTTTGTGTTGAAGGCACATGGCTGATATTTCTTGAGTCAGTAGCTCTTGTTCTGGACTCTCCAACCTTATTATATGTGCTTCACAAATTAGAAATCTGACATGTAGGTCTCTCCTGGCCCTCAGTTTTCTTATCTGTGAAGTAGGGATGTGGCAAGGACAGGGAGACCCAAGCCCCAGATCTTTTTTTTTTACACAAGGAGGAACAGACGCACAAGGAAAATGCAGTGCCCTGCTCCCCTGAGGCCTAGACCAGAGCTGGGAAAGGCTGTCTCTGCTGAGAGCAGGCTGTCGCTGGTCCTGTTCTCAGGAGAAGGAAGGGCAAAACTCATGGCATCCAGGTCTGCAGAGCAGGTCAGAGTAAGGCCAGTCCCCAAGACAGAAGCAGGGGATGAGGAAAGTCTATCTCACCTACTGTTTGTGCTGGAAGGTCCCTACTCTACAGGTCCAGAGAGGTCTGGGACTTTCACAGGCCCACACAGGAGGTGACTTAGACAGAATTCTCAGGCCTGGCCCCACAGAAGCCCCCTTTCTGGGCAATCAAATGGGTTACAGGGCACAGACCTTGTCTTCGGAAATGGCTGACCAATTTCTCTCCTGTGAAGAGACCCTGAGCTATGGCTGCCAGGAAAGACACAGCTATCTAAGTTATTTTTCACTGTGGTTTGAGATAAGAGCAGTAAATAGTTTCATGTTTTTGCCACCGATTTTATCTCTGGCCCAGACCTGCTCTTTCAACCTGAAAGATGATTAATTGAAAACCTTTCTCCTTTTTTCTTTTTCTCAACTTCAAGGGAAGATCAGCACAAACTCCCCATGTTCTGCCCTCAAAAACACCACCTAGGTTGTCACACATGGGGAAAGGTCAGAATTCTTCAAGATTCAGTGGTTCTACTGGAGGAATTATTTTCTTTTTATTGACTTATTGTACAGTGAAGTGTACAATGCTTAAGTGCACAGTTCAGTACGATTTTGTGTATCTTTATACTGATATAACCAACACCCAGAGCAAGATACAGAACTTTTCCCAGCACCACCAAAGACTTCCTGGCTCACTCCCTCTTAGTCTCCACCCCTCTAAGTATAGCCACCATTTCAACTTCTATCATCATAAATTCACTTTGCCCATTCTCAAACACCATTTTAGTGGAACGAGACTGTGCTCGCCTTTGTTCAACTGCGTTCATCCAACATATGTCTGTGAAATTCTTTCTAGTTGCAGCATGTAGTTATGGTCTGTTCAACAGGGTCTGTGTACTACCTGGTTGTGTCCCACAATCTATTTTCCCATTCTACTGCTGATGGATATACAGGCTGTTTTGATGTTCTGGCTAAAATCAATAAAGCTACTGTGAACTTCCTTGCAGTCATGTTGTGGAGAGCACATGTAAACATTTCTGTTGGAAATGCTGGGAGTGGGGTGGAATCAATGAATCATGGGATATACATATTTTAGCCTTAGTAGGTCATGCCAAACATTTTCCATGGGAAAGTGTGTTGTAAGCAATACTGTTTTTTCTTGCCTTGTCCATCAGACATTGGCTCTTTCCTTTCTCTTACATGATCTGAAGCTGCTTCCCAAATATTATTATTAGAAATTATTCTCTACATTGTCCAACTATTCACATTCTGACAGTCAATTATTAGGAAATAAAATCCAAATCTGACTAAGCTGTGTCGAATCCAAACCTTGCTCACAGGGCTAGGGGGACTTGGCTTGGGCAGGCAGCAGTGAAGTCAGCTCATTGTAAGAGCAGATATTAGCCACCTTATCACTTGCCAGTTTCTTATGTTCCCACAACTGTGGAATGGCTGCTTCCACTTCCACAATCTCCTCTTTGAGGGAGTTAGCTCAAGAAGAGCCCAGTCTGACACAGACGTGGATGCCATTTGCCAGGCTTTTAGAGTGCAGCCCTTGGCCACAAGTATCTGGCCCCAAAGACTTTGGGAGGCACCCAGGAAACTGGCCACTGGCTTCTCTTGGGGTCTCAGTTCCTTAGTCCCTCCCCCACCATGTGCTAGTGCTTTCCCTTTCCTAGCCCCCTTCAAATCTGCCCACTTTCATCTATCCTACAGCATTTCCCCAGTCCAGCTCTCCTCTCCCATGCAGATGACCACTTCAATGCCCCATAAGCACTTGTCTCTAAACAGACCCCTCTAGCTTCTCTCCCCACAAAAGCCTGATGAATTCATACACCCATTAATTCATACAACAAATATTTACTAAATGCCTAAGAAGTAATGGAAACTGTGCCAGGCTCTGGAGGGAACCCAACCCACAAGATGCTCACATTTTAGGAGATTAGTATGGCTGTGTCCCATATGGGCTGTCTACTGGCTCAGTGTGAATTTCAAGTCCTTTGATCTAGCCTAAAAGCCTTCCCTGGGACTCAGCCCCCATGGCCCCTCCAGAATCCCCCAGACACACTGTTCACAGCCTTATTCTCTCATATCTGTCCTGGGCTACAGGAAGAAGAACCAGTCATCACTCTCCTACCATCTCCCAGCCCCTGTACCTGGAATGTATCCCAGTCATTTAGCTGATATCTCTAACAGCACCCGCTCCCTTCCTAAAATGGGAGAGACCAGTGGGAAGTAGACATGTTTGCTACTGAAGCATCCTTCATAACATTCTGGCACTTGTCTGCCCATCTCCTGGGTCTCAGAAGGACAGTCATCTCTCCCTCAGGGGAATGTGGGAGTCTCTGCTCTTAACTACTGCTTTATACCCGAGGTCTAGGGAAGACTCCCTTAGCATAGGTACCAGTGGTAGCTATATTCCAGGGTCTCATGCAAGTGAGTCTTTTCACTTATGATTTAAAAAAAAAAATGCACATAGGTTTTAAGGAAGTCAAGCTGGAAAGGCACCATAAACTTTCCAAAGTTTAGGAAAATTCTCTGTGGGGGCAAAGAACTGCACTAGTCTATAAGAAGGTTCTCAATCTACAGCCAGGAGGCTAGTGATGATTATCCTCATTGACAATAGCATCTGAAAGATGAGACAAAAGAGTGACCTTATGTCACCCAGGAGCTGAGCGAGCAGGAACCCATACCAGTGTGGCTCCTGCTCCCTTTCCCACTTAACAGATTTGGGAACCATCTCAAAGGAAGCAGGAGAAGGAAGGGAAGCCCAGCTCTCGGGCAATGTGTCACTTCCTCCTGCCTAGTGCCTGGGGCAGTCCCAAATTCTTCCAGCGGAGCTTTGGCTCAGGCCTCTTCCGCCAGTTGGGCTGGATAAAGGCGGGGTTAGTTCATTTGTGGGGAGTGGAGGACAGAGAAAGAACAACTACTACTGGAACCACAACTTCTGGTCAATAAGTTCCTCCGCACTCTCTACGCCCCAGAAAACTCTCCTAGATTGACCTCCATTGCCCTCAGGCCACTTCTCTCACCAGGGTGTGTCTGGGGCAGTGGCTGAGGGTCTCTTCAGGTCCCTAACTGAAACAGAGGCTCTAGCCCTCCCCAGGGCTAGGGGTAGGTCAGCACCCAACCTGGATTCACAGAAGCATTGTGACTCAGAGAGAACCTAATACCCCCTCCCACCAGTCCATCCCTTGGAAATGCACACCAGCCAGTGTTGGAAACCAGGCAGAAATCAGAGGAAGCTGCAAAAGCTTTGGGTCACACCGAAGACTTCATGCCCATGGGGTTCACAGACAGAGAAACAGTCTCAGGCTCCATGACAAAACAAGAACACTAGGTACTGTCCTAGGCAGGGGCTTCCTAAGTTGCTGTGAATCCCCAGGGTAGGAAAGAGCACCTTCCCATAGTCAGCCATTCCAGAGGTCCAGGAGTCACAGGCAGACACATAGAGCAGGCCATAAGAATGACAGCTAACAAACATAACTCAAGACTCCTAGCAGTAACAGGTGGGTAGACAGTGGGAGAATTCCTGGCACTGGCAGATTTAGGGAGAGCTTGGAAGAGACTGGTGGGAGACCAATAGGAGATAGTGATGGTGACAGATTGACACACACAGATGCAGACAAACAGAATTTAAGCCCTGGTTGGTACATACAAAGACACAGTGGTTGCCTGTGGTCAGGATGAAAGGTGGCAATTCTGTCCTGAGCTCAGCCTCCGCAGCTCTTGGAGTTTGTCCCCACTGTACTGTGATCAGAGGCTTTGAAGGACTCTTTCCAGGTAAAAATCCCCCCCTACCTTAAGAGCCTCAGGAAAGGAACAGATTATGGCCCTCACTGTTCCTGGAACTAGAGAGAAGAATCAAACCTGTCCCTGCCTCTCTTCATCAACACTGAGGGGCAGGGAAAGCTTCCCCCATGTCTCTCCTAGGGCTACCTACTCAGCTTGGTGTGCCAGCTTTCCCTGGAAAAGGTCTTTTAGGAACCACAGTGAGTCCAGACTTTTTTTGTGCAGCAACCCCAGGTTACAATGGAATCAGAACATGAATCAGACCCCTCAGGGATGAGGGTCACCACGAGGGAAGTCACCAGAATAAACATATGTGCTGAAGGTAAGGGGAAATCTGGAGTTAGATAAAAATAGAAAAGAGTTGTGATCCTGCAATTAACTGTATTAGCAGAGACTGTAGTTCATCTCACTAACCTTCCTGGAAGAGAAGGATTACTGGTGTGCTGGAGCCCAAAATGGCCTGTGATAGCCTATTGCTAAATTTTTGCCAGTTTTTAGAAGCTTGAACCATGGTGGGAGTATTTACACCATGAGAATTTACAAATGTTACAGTGTACGGTTTGTCTCTGTTTTGGAGAGCTAGTTATTAAAACATGTAACAGCTTAGCACTGGAATCCTGGAGTTGATGCTCCAAGAACCTGTTCCAAGTGTTTATATGTAGAAGTGGATCCAAACAGCTCTAGGGGGTAGAGTGTGGTGGACATGATGAGGTACTATTTTTAGGAATCAAGGGCATATCTCCTCAAATCAGGAGTGCCATTAGATAGTAGCTCCATAGAGTGAGAACTAAGTCCTGGAGGACAGCTCATTATCCTTGCAAAGTCCCAAGCCTGTGCATCAATTAACTATGTCTACTAGCTATTGCCCAACACTCCATCAGGCACTCCATCTGAAAGCCAGCTCCATCATCCAGGGACAGGTTTCTCCCATGCAGGATCACAGAGGTACACTTGTGGTCTCAGGAGGCACAAGTATTCCCAGCATTCACATGCTGGGAATCTCATACTCTGAAAGCCCCAAGATCAAAAACTCTGAAAGCGTTGGACTGAGGTGCTACAAATAGGAAAGATATACCTGGACTGTATATTAAATTTTGTCAAAATAAACCACATGCCCTTCCAGGCTATAAGAGGGCTTGGACTCTGTTACTGTCAAGCTAGACATTTGACTGTGGCAAGAGAGAGCCCATAGTATTGGGTTTATGCATAGTCTCTATTCCTGAGCCAGCACTGGGATGCAATGACAGAAGCTATAAGAGTCACAACTATAAGAGTCACTATGTCTACCATGTTTTCATACCTTTTCCACTGCGCTGTGCTTCCTGATGGTCATTAATATGCCAAATGAAGTTCTTCATACTTCAGGCTACTAACATTTATCTATCGCATGCCTGTATCCTATGATTCCTTGTTCTAGGTTTCTAAGTCTTTCTCATTACAAGTCCCTGACCATCCAGTCAAGTCATTTGCTACTGCCCATGAGTAAGACTACCTCTCTACACAAAGGCAGGTGAACCACCTGAATCTCTAGTTCATTGGCTTTTTCTTCACTATTGTTTTTCACAATCATCCCTGAGTTGAGCTATAGTATAGCTGCCATTTTTTATTTGACCCACATACTGATCTGATCTATTTGTGAACCAAGTTTGTGATTTTACCTCTCCCATCAGCTGGTTCGAAGGGATTGTTTGTGTAGGCACCTGTGTGAGTTGCAGGAGACAGTGTGTTGCCATGGAGGTGAGAAACATGGTGTTCAGGTTATATGTTTGTGCAGTTTATTTGTGCCACCAATCATTATCATACTTGATTACAAATGTATGAGTTCCATCTTTTTTTTTTTTTAGATAGATACTCTTTTTTTTTGTTTGTTTATTTATTTATATATTTATACAAGCACTGGGTACAGTCAGAAGCGAGGGAGGGTGAGAGAATTCACCAGAGCCAGAGTGGGGAGCAGAGCAGACAGAAGGACCGAAGTACACTGCTGAGGGGAGCAGCAGGCGGCAGGAGAGGTCTGCGCGCCATGTGGGACCCTCCTCCAGTGGCCGGGGAGCAGCCGGGGATCGAACTGGCGCTGCAGAGGCTGCTGGCAGCTTCCCAACCCAGCGCTCAACAGCTGCGCCACCGGGGAGGCCCAAGTTCCATCTTTTTTTTTTACGACTTTCAGCTTCTGATGAGTCTCCACTAGGCCTGTTTTACCTGATGGCTTAGAAGACCTGACAAAAACTAATTTATCATAGTTAGTTCTAGATCACTAGTCACTTCATCAGGTCCTACAGCCCCACCAGGGCTCAGAAGAACAATTTTTTTTTTCATAAGATGTAATTTATGCAGATGATATGGCTTCTTCCAGAATCCAAGGGATATAACAAATATTCCCACTACTGATACCTTTCAAATCACAATTCATATGGCCCAAATGGTAATGCTACTTGTACTACAGCCTACAAATGTTACAGTCCTTTTCTGCCATGGGTCCTACTTTAAGGTGGCAGGTTTTTGTGTTATTGCCAGGTATATGGGTCATAGTTATATTCTGAAGAGTGCAACAGGTTACATTTATACCCTAACAAACAGCATACTTCCTTCTTCATGATGGGAAGTATAAGACACAGTAATTTGTCCTATACATCAAGGAAATTTTCTGGCATTCTTCAGACCACTGGATCCTCTGAAAGCTTTATAGATGTAGCAGGATCTGAATCTTCACAGGGCTTATCTTCTGGAGAGTATGTGTCTTGTCATAGTCACCAATGTATTAGTCACTTCTTGATCATTTTGTCTGATTGGCATAATGTTACTGATAGAGTTCTGCAGGATACTAGATAGCCCAGATTTTTTGGGACTATGTTATGACAGAAGGAGGGAGAGATAACATAGCTTAAGAAATTTATATTGTTGCTTGTTACAAGTGAGTGCAAACTATTTCTGATAGTGATGGGAAAGAATGGATTCACCATGGGCCTCCCCTGGTGGCGCAGCGGTTGAGCGCTGGGCTGCGAAGCTGCCCGCAGCCTCTGCAGCACTGGTCGATCCCTGGCCACAGGCGAGGGTCCCACATGGTGCAACAGACTTTTCCTGCCATGCCTGCTGCTCCCCTCAGCAGTGTACTTCGTTAGTCTGCCTGTTCTGCTTCCCACTCTGTCTCTGGTGAATTCTCTCACCCTCCCGTGCTTCTGACTGTACCCAGTGCTTGTATAAATAAATTAATCTTAAAAAAAAAAAGAATGGATTCACCAGATCGGTGTCCATAAACTGTGTGTCTGAAACCATGTTAATCTACTATAGTGAAGGTACCACATCTTGCAGACACAGTGGCTGCAACTTGTTACCACAAACAGTGGTTACTACCTGTTGAATTGGTGGTAGCCCATTGCCATCTCTTAGGATATATCTAGATTTTATTGTTGAATTAAATGATGATACAATGGAATTTCTTCAGGCCTTTAATGGTGGCACAAATTTCTGCAATTATCTCTGGAATATGATAATATTTTTGATGTTTTATTTCGGTTGGAATGGCTGTCCTCACTACACAATAGTTGTTTCCACATTGGCCATGAAGGAGGCCAATGTAGGAGGTTATGCTAAACAAGTGCATTTACCCAATTATGTCACTGAATGAATCTATGCACCTGCAGGGTCTGTTTTGAGCAAGGTAACAATTTCCATATAACAATTTCAGCTCAAATCTGGTGTACAACAGTTCTTGGAAAGTTGGGTAGTCTCCTTTTCCCAGTATCTGTAGTTATTCAAATAAATGGCTGCAAGTCCCCCATGGGCAAGGGTTAGGGAAATGTTTATCATGCAAAAGTGCTGTAATATTACAGATCCTTCCTTCCAGGAATCTGGCTTCATCAGTCAATGTGTCTTGAGTTCAAAAACTGGTACAAATCCAGAAACATGGCAAGGAACCTTTGACTAAAGTGACTATCTCATCCTTGATTGATGGGATTGTGCAAACAAGCAGAATTGTTATCAGTGAGCTCAGTTCTGTAATATCTTCTGTCAGTTTTAGTGATGCTGGTACCTTTCTTTTCAGCACATTCCTTATTGTTTTGGTATCTACTGACCTCTTTGGGTGGGTTTATTGATCTTGCTTAGTATAGCCACTCTTGCACACCCACTTCCTCCATAGCTACCATAACAATTCTGCCATATCTGTCTCACTTATTTTTCCATGGTCCTAATGTTATATTTGCACCATCTCCTGGGGTCCTTGCCACAGTTTAAAATACCATATCCTTGGGGAGTGAGCCTATATTCGTAAACTCTTTTACCCAAGTGTCTGTATCACACACTTGATACACAATCTAGTCCTCCAAAGTTCCTGCTAGGTGCTACCTTTCCTAGCAGGAAAGGTATAGAACCTTTTCTCCCTTAGCAGGTTCCAGCACATCCCTGGCCACTTAATGTTGTGACTTAATCCTGGTTTTTGGCCTAATGGTCAAGAATGGAGATGGGAACAGATCCTGAGAAGATGAGAGAATGTGTATTGCAGAACAGAGGCCTCTGCATCATCTCTAGTGAGGCAAGAGTTACAGCCCCTAACTATTAATAGGGATGAGTGGGCTCAGAGGTTTCAGGAGAAATCTGAGGATTCAAGGTTTTCAGGTGCTATTGATGTCCCCATTGCATGTGCCAGGGTCTCATTCTTCCCTACCCTGAACTCTCATCTTGGCACAGGAAATCTGTCTTGATTTAGAATTCATCCTTCTTTAAAGCTTAAATACTTTAATAGGTAAGGCGTGGGCCTGGTTCTCAGGTTTGTTTGTTTTTCTGTTTTATTGTAAGAGATGAGTGCTATTTATATGCACCAAGGATGCCTAGGGCTTCAAACTTAGCTTTAATCGCTCACTAATTACTCTATAAACTTTTCATCTTTTATTTTTTTGCCCCAGAATGATTCAAGCTTAGCAATACTTAACCAATTCCTCTGTCCTTGGAGAATCTCATTCCTCCATATTTCTCAAATACCAGATAAATCGCCCCCACTAATATATTCTTTTCCAATGGCAACTAAAGTTTTAACAACTGCATTATTATTTTGTGCCAGAGTTTGTCTCTGCCTAACTTGCCACCTGTGATAAGAAAGGTCCTCAACGGCAGCCAGATGATGGGCATTCAGCTCCAAATTCCATTTTAGCAATCCTTTTGGTCATTCCTAGAATCAAATACCATACAGTAGGTGCCATTGGAAGCAGACTCTGAGTCAGAAATTAGCATAAAAGACCTTTATAAAGGAGAGTTTGTGGGACTGACACCTTTGGAAATGGGAGGTTGGAAACTTAGGTAGAGGGAGGCTGAGCTGCCATGCAATTT